AATGTACTAACCATTGTTACTCTCCTAAAATCTTGTTTTGAGATTTTGTACCATTGTTTTTATTTTTTTTTCTTTAAAATAAAAATAACTGATGTCAAAATAAATAATGAAAAAAAAAGAGAGAAAAGTAACCAAGACAGAACCGAATATAGTAAAAACGAAATGCAATTCAGTATAATTTAAAACCAATTATATTTTTAAAACTGAATTTCTGAGATATATGGAGTGGAATCCAGTTAAGAACTCATCTCTAAAAACCTTCAAAGCAATATAGTTGAATTCCTCATGCTTTAACATCGATGGTGACTGTATGATAATAACCCAACAAGCTGGGTACCATGTCTATCAAAAGATACATATGAAAAAAAAGGCCTACAGCAGCGGTGGCAAAACTAGGGCAGGGGTGCCATAGGAGCTGTTTATTATTATCAAAAGCATTACAAGGTTTGCACTGCTAGCCTAGAAAAACCAAGTAAGGTTTTCCAGTTTACAGTTATCCAGTGGCAGTGCTGACTCTTCAGCATCTCACGGCCCAGATTCCTAACTTCCCTTCTCCATAGGCACCACTCACACTTCAGAATTCTTAACTTACGCCCAGTCATAAGAATGGCTCTCTAACTCTTGAGTGTCTTCCCAACCTTTCCACTCTTCATTCCAACTCTACTGCCCATATGATTGAGTCTAGGTTCCTGAATTCACAATTCAAGAACCCAGCGATCTACCCTTAACCTTTTTTTTTTTTTTTTTTTTTAAGGGAAGGGTCTACAGGGTGTTCAGGGTCTCACTACTAGATTGGACTGGTAGTGATCCTCCTGTTTACAGCCTCCCAAGAGCTGGGATTAAAGGCACCCGGCCACCACACCCAGTCTCAATTGCCATCTCAGCATGCCCTGGGGGTGGGGCCGGCACAGCAAGCCTGGGGATCGAACACCCTTACCTTTAAAATGGAACTACAAGGCCTGCATTCTGCAGTTATATCAGCTATTCTCCCACGTTGCCACCTCCCAGTAATATCAGAAAGTCTTTTTCTATTATTGCCTCCCATTTAAATTTTGCTTATCCTTGTAGGTATAGGTTAAACATAAACTGAGAAGCTTTCCACCTCCAGCCAGAAGTGAAATTTCCTCCCTGTGTACTCTTACAGCTCCATAACTGTAGCAAGACACTAGTTAAACATATCCATCAGACATAATTATTCATGCCATGGAAATTTTGTTCTCAGTTCCCCAAACATCTCACATACATCTCACCTGCATGCCTATACTGCATTTATATAATTTTTACCTTTTCCCTTGACCAACTCCTACTTCTCCTTTATGTGTAAGTTCAGAATAGAAGTCCCCTATAAATCTTTCCACCATTGCCCTCACAGTGGATACAACCTCATCACAGCACAGGGACTGGTAACTGGCTACTTTGTAGGAGACCAGATGAGAATAGAGGCCTAGCTGACCTCCTCTGTGAGCATAAAGGAGAAAGGCAGCATGCAGGTACAATGGCACATGGCAGGTTACAGGGAAAAGTCGACACAGCTGAGGTCCAGTGGTGGAAGGCAGAGAATTTTGTTACTTGAAAATGGCAGGATGAGCCAGCTGCTCAGAGCTCTCTGTCCACTAGAGGTAAGAACCCCCTGGCTGCCTGCATTCTAGACTAACTCTGTCTCTTTGTCTTTTATCTTTGTTCATCCTCCATTCAAGGACAAACTTGTAAGCTGGTTTCCCACACTACTTACTTGTCTGTCTACCCATTAGATTATAAACCTCATCAGAGACATTTATTTTATCCATGGTCTCCTCTGGTTTGTCCTCCAAAGGTATCTGTGCAGGAAGCTTGGTCCTCAGTGTAGTAACATGCAGAGGTGGGGGGACCCTTCAGAATTACAGACAATGCTGTTTGGACTATCCAGCCACCAGAACTATGAGCCAAATGAATCTCTGTCCTTCACAAACCACCCAGTGACAGGTATTCTCTTATAGCCAAACGGACTAAGTCAGGGCTGCACGGCAACATCTAGCACAGTGTCTGCCAGGTAACTGGAACATTCTTCAACGAACTTACAACGAATTTATTATCCTGTCTGATTAATCCAGAAACAAATTTCAAAGTGCTGAGCTTTACAAATAGCAAGTACTAATTAAATACTTGTTGCATGAAGAAATTCTCTTGACAAATGGCCTAGATTAATTATCTATAGTCTTCAAACAACATGAATTGAGTTGCAAAACTGTATGAGTACTTAATAATGTCTTTTATAAGGTAAATGAGGTGAACATTTCAAAACATTTTAAAATTAATTCCTTATTAAATCAAACCTAGGAATTTATTGCATTATTGTGAGCCATTTTAATGCATGACTTATTTGTAACTACCAGCAGTCCCTGATTACTATTTATCTGTACTATAAAGATAAATGAACTCCAAACTACCTAGGCTTTTCATCATTTGGGTCTATTATCTGTATTGTTTCTATATACCAACTGCTATTCATAGGCAAGCCACTCTTACTGTTATCTATGAAAGTGATGATTCATCTTTTAAAATAATGATCACAGGGACTGAAGACATAGGGCAGAGCATTTGTCTAGCCTATGTGAGACCTTGAGTTTAATCCTCAATACTGAGATGAGGAAAAAAAAAAAATATATATATATATATGTATGTGTGTGTGTATAAAAATGTATACATATATATTAATCACAGTTCTTTCTTATACCATGTCTCTATTTAGAAAAGACTAGCTCAGGCTTAGCTTTAGTTCACCCATCCATACATCTGTGGGCCTCTTTATTCACAAGCACTCATTCACCTATAAGCATCTGTGTCATGAAAATCCTGTACACAGAGCAGATTCTAATGTCATCAGCGAAGCAGATTCAAGTTACAACAAATGCTTTCATATCCCAATACTACAAGTACTGTATTAGCACTGTATAGGTCCATGTTAAGGGTAATATGAATTTCAGTACAGAATTATTAAATAAGAAAAAACATAAAGTAACTGATAAGACACACCTTAAATGCATCTGTAGCAGTTAAATGAGACAAAGAATGTTTGGTTTTTTCTTTGTTTTGTTTTGCTTCCTTTTGATTTTGAGACAGGGTCTCTCGCTATGTAGTTTAGGCTGGCCTTGAATTCACTATGTAGCCCAGGCTGCCCCAAACCTGTGGCAATTCTCCTAATTTAGCCTGCCCAATGTAGGGATTACAGGCATGTGCCATCAAGGGTAGAATTTTATGTGCTGACATACAACAATACATGGTTATAAAAAAGAAAAATGTACTGTAAAATAATGATATTAATAGTAAAATTGCTTCATATTATAATCAGCACAGTGACATTATTACAGAGATAACTGTGAATCTACCATTTTTGTATTACTTTCAAATGTGTCAACAATGTATATTTAAGAATTGCTAAAAGCTGGTCAAATAGCTCAGCGGATTAAAGTGCCTGCAAGCAGGTGCAGGGGCCAGGTGTTCGAACCCGGCCTGCCGTGCCGACCCCACTCCCAGGGCGTGCTGACATGGCAACTGAGACTGGGCATGGTGGAACGCGCCTGTAATCCCAGCTCTTGGGAGGCTATAAACAGGCAGATCACTACAAGTCTGATCTAGCAGCGAGACCCTGAACACCCTGTAGACCCTTCTCTAAAATCCAAAAAAAAGAATTTCTGAGATGCATTATTCTACTATGTCCCTCCAGCTCTAAAATTCTTTAATTCTAAGAATTATATATGTAAGTGTCTTTGATCTGTCAAAATCCAACATGAAAAAAAAAATCCAACATGAATAATAAATGTCCAGAATTTTATGTCTGTTGCAAAATGTAAGTTTTTAACAATAACCACTGACTACCACCAACTCATGTTGAATATACTCACTTTATGAAGTTCACAAGTTATCACACTCTTACTTCAATTGTAAAAAGCATTATATTTTTAAGAACTAAGAAAAATGATAACTCCCTTTGAACATTTAAAGAAATAAACAAAAGTAAACCTGTCCATGGTTAAAAAAAAAAAAAAAAAATGCTGCGTGTAAATCAAATCCTATTAGAAGGCAACTGTAAGTAGCAACAAGGACCCTAGCCAGGGATTTGGAATCAGAAGATGGAGAAATAAAGAAGTCTCTTGGCTACAAAAGTCCAAGCAAATCGAACAACCTATGTGAGTCTCAACTGCATCCTTTGCAAAATGAAGAATAATAAAAGAATTATATATAACACCTGGCTAAAGGTAGGAGAAAATAGATTCTCAAATATTTGTATAATAAAAACAATGCATTAGTGATCCTTTTGTTCAGGCTATAAACATGTTCCACTCTTTTCATATGAATTTTTCCAACACTGCATGCACAACTGTCCCAACTGCATGTATTTGTTTGTTTATATTGCATATTAGAAAGGAGCTTCTTGCTCCCAACAAGTCCAGTTTTGAGCATCGGTGTTTTTCACTATAAATATGCAAATATTTGTTATCTCACAAATGAAACTCAGGAAGGAAGAATGCATACTTACAAAGCACACCCTCGAAACTCTGTGTTGCTCTCCCCCAAGCTCAGTGCTTTTCTCAGGAACATATACCTGCCTCTTTTCATTTCTTCATGAGATTCAGGGCAAAAGGTCTAGTCAAAGAGATGATCTTTAGTGGCCACTACACCTTCTCCAAAGCACCTACAGATAAATGAGATAGGGGAGTAAGACATACTTAACTTATAACTTTAATTTTTTTTAATTAAAAACAGGATTAGCTCAATTTCCCTTTTAAAGCGTCAGGGGAGATAGCTCAGTACAGTAAGCATTTGCCTGGCAAGCACAAGGTCCTGAGTTCAATCTCTAGTACTGAAAAAAAAAAAAAAAAGGGACCTTGTAAAGATCATAGCAGATTGCAGATCTGGAGAGGAAATGCTCCTAGAGTCATCCAAAAGCCCAAGTGACCTCAGTAGAATTCTTCACGTCTTTGTCCACAGTCAGCACAATCCTCAGTGTCGTTTACCCACACCAGTCACCTATCGAGCTTGCTAGAGCTCAATCTGCTTAAAAGTACTACCAAGCATGTCAAGCAGTTGCTAAACAAAGGATGTAATGAAATTCACATTTACTGTTTGACTTTGATGGTCCAATTGTAGCTCTAGGACAGCCTAAGCCTCTTAAGAGAAATACTTTATATGTTCTTCCCACACTTGGTATTAAAAAAAGAAAATTAAAAGATAAAACAGGGGCTGGAGAGATGGCTCAGTGGTCTAAAGCACCTACTTAGAACAAGTTCAGCGAAGCACAGGGACCACGGTTCAATCCCCCAGCACCACATGCCAGCCAGCCCGCCCCCTGGTGGGCTGAGCTGGCCACACACACACACCACTCTCTCTGTCTCTGTCTCTGTCTCTGTCTCTGTCTCTGTCTCTCTCTCTCTCTCTCTCTCTCTCTAATAAAAAAATAAATAAATAAATAAAAAATAAAAGATAAAACAGCTTTGGCTTCAGGGAAGAGCTGTGGCAGAAATATTTTCAATATTTTGTGGCTGCTTTCAAAACAGGCTGCAAGACTGCACCGAAATTCATCCAGGATGACTGTGGTTCTCCACCTAGAAAGCATATCTGGTACGTCAAGAAACCATTTCTAGAGAGAAGGTATTTTGTGAAAATTAATCAAACTGAACTGTTGAGACATCATCGCCTTTATGCAGTGCCAGAGAGGGCACCCTGCGAGGTACAGGGTGGTACACACTTCACCCTCCTACCAAAGCATCAACCTTCCCTGGAGATGGGGCACACACAAATGAAATTTCTCAGTGACAATGTAAAAGTGCCAAAGTTTCTATTTTCTCTCTGTGCTGTCCAATAACAGTACTCATCAACCAGTAGCTACTAAGCCCTAGCCTATCTGGCTTGTTCAAATTGATATATGTGATAAATGAGATTTTGGAGACATAGTATCATTTTTTAAAAAAAAAGAATTAAAACACCTCTAGGCTTTGTATTTTGATACACGTTGGATGCATTCTTTTTTTGATGCATTCTTAATATATTGCATTAATATATTGCATCTTAATATATTGTGTCAAACACAAATTAATTTCACCAGTTTCTTACTGTGGCTACAACATTCTAAGTCACCTATGTGGCTCACATTCTCTTTCTATTAGACGACACTGTTCTGCATAATGAAATAAATTTTAGCAGAGTAACAACTACCAAGCAAGCACTGTACCGTTTAAGGCCAGTAGCTGTACTGGAGGCAAGCGTCAGATACTTTACATGATACTTGGATCAAAACCGCAAAGTATAATTACTCAGTTTTACTGGGCGATTAAGAGATAAGGTCTATCAAACCCATGAAGAAAGAACGGGTCGGGATTCAATGTCCGATATTTCTACAAATAATACAAGTAAGGAACTAACAGCTAAGGTTAGGCAGATACTATGTTGGCGTGGGAAGAAAAGGGAAGTGATTCAACATTCCAGGAGCTGCAAACTTTCTGCGACTTCAGAACAGGTCTAGAATGCACCCACTTAATATCCTGGAACAGGCAGGCAAACGCCAGAAGGCTCTCTGGAAAACACAGAAAGGGTCCAGGCTCCTGGACAGCTAAAGCGAAACCGGGGCTGGGGGTGAGCTCTGTCCAAAGGGAGGAAGACGGAGTCCAAATTCACGGTTTGATTTGCCCAGGACCCGCCTGTCAACACCCCCGCCGAGGGGCAGAATCAGACCTGCTGTCGCCCCGCGCCTTCACACACACTTTCCCCACCCAGGGCCCCACGCGCTACGCTGGTGTCCCCGCCCCTGGGACAAGGGAAGTGGGACCCAAGACACCCAGAAAAGACAGGGAAGTGGAGGAGCAAGGGCGAGGCGGCAGGGGGCACGTACCTGAGACAGAAGACCACGCCAGGTCCTTAAAGCCGGATCATCGCCCAGGCCCCACCTGGCTCCCGCGGCTACCAGAGACCCAGAAGGTGCAACTGACCAAACGCAGCGGCGCCAACTGACTCCGCACTCCCCAGACTCGCAGCTATGGCAACTTGAACTAGCCGCCCAGCCGCGGCTGGAGGGCGGGACGCGCTGCCGTCGCTCGGCCCTCTGGGAGTCGTAGTCCAACTCCTCGCAAGAACAAGGAGGTATCAAGGGGGGTTGGTCAGAGAAAAACTGCATGTCCCAAGATGCCCTGCGACAGCCCTTTCCGGGACTCTCCCGGAAGAAACCGGATTAGCAGCCTCTAGGGCCCGGGGCCGCGCCTTCTGGCCGGACTCGATTTAATTTTTCTTAAAGGGCCAGTCTCTGTGGTTGTACGGAAGGCAAATGCTAAGAAGATAAACTAAATGGGATCTTGACCCTAACTGTAACTTTAGTGCTTGAAAATCAACCAGTGACGTGAAGCTCCTTTGAATACCAATCCCCAGTGTCGTGTTCCAAAGACTCAAATTCTTAGCACTGGAGGGAGCATAGACGATTATCTACTCAAAACTTTCAGGCCTGGATAGTCAGTGACTTTGCCTAAGAGCACGTGTTTCATTCATGGCAAACCAAGCCGTGGGAAGCTGTCCGCTCAGCACAGTTGCCACCTCTAGGGTGTCACCCCCTGGCTCATTCTAGAACATGAAAGATATATTCCACTGAGTTCCAACGAAGTTCGTTTTAGTCCTAAAGAGAACACGAAAACCTCAACAACAAGAACAACAAAACTGAGCTTTGGAAATAGAAGAATTAGAAATTAGTAACATGGTTAAGTCTTTCCTTTTACTCTGCCTAAAAGGCCACTGGACCCTTGGGCTAAAATCAAATTTCACCTTATCTGTGAAAGTTTTCCTGGTTACCTGAAGAACAAAGGAACCTCGCATTTTTAAATCTCATTTAAAAAAAAAAAAAAAAAATCCCTTTCTCTACTCTCTCTCTATCTCTCTATCTCTCATAAATTTATATTTATACAGCAGAATATCTGATATAGCAGAATCACTCTTAACAGTTTTTTCTGGTCAACAGTAAGATACAAAGTCTATTCCATATCCAGTTTAACCATAAAACTAATTCCAAAGACCTACCTATGTTTTTGAATCTGTCTTCAAACTAGTTGCTTAAATTCTTACTGTAGAGGGCTGACCAGATAGCTCAGCAGATTAAAGCATCTGCTTAGGCAGAAGCAGGGACCAGGGCTGGATTCCCTGCGCAACAAGCCAGCCCCACCCTGGGGGCAATTGAGACTGGGCATGGTGGCTCCTGTGCCTGTAATCCCATCTCTTGGGAAGCTGAAAACGGGAGGATCACTAGGAGTCCGACCTGTGTAGTGAAACCCTGTAGACCCTGTACTAAAAACACATTTAAAAAAGAAAATTCTTACTGTAGAATATACCCCACCTGACACAAAGTTTAAGAAAATTTCAGAACAGTCTTAAGTTTGCCCCATAGGTATACAGAAGTGTAATTATGGTTCTTAACATTTTAATTTTTTCATTCATTTAATTCATCAAATTTAAGATAGATCTGCCTAGGATCCAAACATCATATTACATACTGAAGTTACAGGGATGATGACAGAATATCATAGTACTTTCTCTCAAGGTGCTTAGAGCCAAATGAAATACACTAACAAATAAATAATTACAAAGCTAAGAGCGAGGACACTGCAGCTGTTTCTGTGGGCAGACATAACAGTGATTTTTCTCAGAAGAAATTCTGACTGACTTCCACAAAAAAAAAAAAAAAAAAAAAAAGGACTACAAAAAAATGCAATTTCAACTGCAGTAACAAAAAGTGATTCTTGACAACCTCTTCACAGGCCAACCATGTTTAGAGAATTGGGCTCAATTATGACGACCTTCTTTTTAAACCAAATAAAGAAAAAAATTAGAGGACAAAACTGAGACCACAGGTTAAAAAATAAAATCTGAGTTAAGTATGACCTCTGTGACCAGATCTGGTGAAACAGGAGAGAGGACAAGTTGCAATGTTTTTAGGAATGAGGACCCACGGTCTTGCAGTTGGAGGACACTCAGCTGCGGCATTCCCTCCATTCTTTAAGCATATGTTGTAAAGACATTCATGAAATAGTTCTTCCAGAACTGCTTCAGGAAGTGCCGAGGATGAGGGGTACATGTGTGGGAAGCACAGGAGAGTACCCTGAAGGGGATTGATGCCAATGTGTCTTTCGATGTAATAAAATTTTTAGATTGATAAGAGCTCATGATTGAAATCCACACAGCCTTTCTGAAGCCGCTTCCTGTTGCAACTGGAGGATGAGGACTACTGTCATGTTGTCCAGGAAGCCCACCTGCATTGCAGTGCAGCCCAGTAACAAATGAGAGGGACAAAGTTTTACAAAAGGAAGACACCTTATTTTTGAAGATGAAATAGAGGGAGAAAGGAGAAGATACATACCTACCCTGACAAGGAAGAACCAGAGTAGAAGGCTCTAGAAAGACAGAGGACCCATAGGCCCTTTGTTCTCAACTGATTTTATGTGGGTCTGGGTGTGAGTGACTCTTTCCCCTCCACCCAGAACTTACCATAACTGACTCGGCTTCCGGGCACCTCTGCCCAAAGTCATTTCTTTGGACAGTCCATGTGCAGCTTCTTTCTGTGTGTTTGTTTGTCCTTGACAAACATTCTAAGGCCTTATCTTTGGGATGGGCAGCTAGTTAGCAAGGAGGTGACTTATTTTTGGCTAAATTAGAGTTAGTAGAGGATGTTTAGATATCTGTTGTACTCTGTTATGACCATGGAGTGCATAATATAGTGATTCTAGAGTGAACACACTTGTAAGTAAGTGTATGTGTCAGTGCATAGGCGTGAAGACATACTACCTTAAAGTTGGCCATCCTCTTTTTGCTTCCTCTTTATTTTTCTGGAGATGGGAGCAGCTTGTTATTGGTGTACCTTGCTTTTCTCTGTGTCTTACTTGTCTCTTTGTGTAAATCTGAAGGCTGTTTGGTGAGTTTCTGTATCTTCTCTCTCTCTCTCTCTCTCTCTCTCTCTCTCTCTCTCTCTCTTTCTCTCGGTGGGGAGTTAGTTTATTTATTTATTTATTTATTTATTTACCTACCCCATCTTTGACTTGTTTCTGAGGAGACTCTAGAAAATTTAGTCTTTTAAATCCTTCTAGTCAGGAAGGAAGACCTAAGAAGATTCCTTATTTTAATTTTTCGTCTACTACCTGTCTAGGCTGTGAGCTCTGAGGTAGTAATTCCACATCTAGTTTCTCGAGCCATCTCAATGGGAAGCACTGTTGTGTCATACTGAATAAATACATAGGTGGGCTAATCAAGACACAGGTTCTGCACGTGTAGCCCAGTGGTAGACCTCTTGCCAGCAGATACAAGATCTTAGGTTTAATCTGGACCACAACAGAATAAATAAACTAATATAATAATAGCAATGAGAAGAAGAGGAAAAAGAAGAAGGAGGAGGAAGAAAAAGGAGGAGGAGGAAGAATAATATTCTAGAATGCAGCTAGTCTGGAGTGGGTAGGCACAAATAAGGGAAGACAACTATCATAGAAAAAGCTGTTGCATGGCACATGGAAGTAGTTCAAGCAGAATGGACAGAGGGTGTGTTTCTCCAATATCTTGAAAATTCATACCTCTGTGGAACAGCAATAGTAGACTGATTATTTCCATCTGCCAAGAAAATATATGTCAAATTCTCCTCAAATGTTTATTTTTTTCCTCTGTGGCTCTCCCCCTGCTTCCATTTCAGCCAGCCAAACTGTTCTGCACTCATGAGATAAGAGCGAATGGGAAAGAAGTTGAGGGTAAAAAGAAAAAGGCAAAACAGTCTCTTCCTGAATGTGCGATATTAACCATAAAGATTCTCAGACAGGACTAGCTATGGGATTGTGGGGTCCATTACAGAGTAAAATGAGAGGCTGTTGTTCCAAGTTTATTAAGAATGTCAAAAGGGCAACAGTGGCTGAGCACTGAGCCAAGTATCAGGCTCTTCTGAATACAGTGCCATCTGAGATGACACAGGTCAAACCAAACCTGCAAAGCTGGCCACACTGTCCCAAAGGAGCCATAGTATAAGCAAAGGACTTAAAAAAAACTATTATGAACAAGAACAGTCTACAAAAGAAAAGAAAGTTATGACTGTGATAAGAAGCAGAGAAGAATGGGTCTGAAAGAGAATGAGGTTAAGGCACAAAGCTGGAGATGTAGGTAGGGAAAAAAGTCTTATGTCCAGGAAGTGCCCAGCCTGTACTCAAGAAAATCCTGTTCATAACCTGAACCTAGCTTCCTAACCATTGACATATGGAAGGATGTCCCTTCAAAAGTGACCTATATTTTTCCCAGATTTCCTAGCACAAGTGATGAACCCCTGTGATTGTTAGTTGTGACATGCCCATTTGATTTAAGCAAGGACTTCTTAGAAGATTAGTAAAGTTCTAGGTGTGACTGTGGATGACTGACATACAGTCCAACCAATGAATGGTGGAAGAGCCACTTTAGATGAGGTGGTACTAACCAACTGAACTATACCATGGTGGAATGAAAAGGGAAAGGAAAAATAAATGAAAATTTTGGGGAAAGACTTGTCTCCTCACTGCCTTTGGACATTGTTGACTTCTGTTGCAGACTAGCACTAATGACTACAGTGAGCTTCTAGGCCTTTGAATTTCAATTGTTACTACATATACTGGTTGTCCAGTATACAGACAGCATTCTGGACACTCCTGGCTATGATCCCACAAATGGCTAATTTAACTCTTCTGCCTTTGATCCTCTAAGTGTACCTAATCCCTCTGTGAAATTACAAGTATATTTTATATTGATTCTATTGCTCTAGAGAACCTTAACTGAACACTGCCTAAATCATTAGACTTTGCTTGACACCTTCTAGCTGCCTTGGATGATTAAGCTCCTTTGCACTATCTCAGGATGATTGTTGAGTCATAAGAAAGAAGAGATCTTGTAAAATGCTATGGGTAGATACAGAGCAAGACCCTGTCTCAATAAATAAATAAATAAATAAAATGGTATGGGTAAAATAAAAAGAAAATCTCTAATAT